ATGAAAATTATAGAAGGCAGAAAACAAAACGTTAAAACATAAATGTGTTGTTTTAAATTTTTGCATAGTTGAAAAAGCGTTTCTACCTTAAACCAATATATCTCAACTCAGAACCAAGCCTGTTTTTATTAAAAATAGGTGTTAAGATCTGCTGTTCTTTGTCAAGAATATGCAGTTTTTCTTATTCTGCTACAATGGAAGTTTCTCTGGACCCTATGAGTCGTTTTCCTGGACTCCAAAAGCTATAAGTTATCATTTATGGTCCATATTCACAGATGCGCTGTAATTTCTATTTTTTTCATTACATTGCAAGGATGTCGGTGGAATGTGTTCCTGCAGGGTTTGCGAATGTGTTACCACTAGGCAAGACTTCAAACGTTGATAATTAAACGTTCTATCTATGTATAGATGCATTTATGTATATATATGCATATGGGCACGTGTGGCGCAGTGGTTGGAGGCGTCCTGCAACTCACGTGGAATCGATCTCCGCGCTCATGGCCCACCAAGCCTTCTATCTCTCGGGGTCACCATTGGTACCAGACTTGTCTCGGAGGATAGCAGCACTGGCTCGATATATCGGTAAGCCACCGGGAGTCATTGTAAAGGCCAGATATGCGTTCAATCACCTCCAGATAAATGTAAAGGTTAATGAAGTCGAATGCATGGCGCATCTCTAATGGATTGGTCAACGCCGAGAACTTGATCCTTTTTTATATATGCATATATATATATATATATATGGTGGAAATTAGTTTAGTGAAGAATTCTAATTTTGTGTTATTTTTACCAATTTTCATTTTTGAACTACCAGGAAGTTGTTAACTCTTGTTGTGGCGTATGACAGCTAATGATTCGGCTCCTTTCATCCGAACGTAAAGCCATCTCTTTATCTTTCGGTGAATATTTTCTAGTCTTAATAAAATTGTAAGCTATAAACCAAACAAGCTATTTGTTAATAAGCATGCACCGTATTCGTTTTTAAAGATTCAGACCACGTAATATGTTGTTGTTGTTCACGTGCGATAATGGATGAACTTGACCTAGATCAGAAAATTAATGTGAGATGAAGTACTAAATAACGTGTGACCTGAGGTATTCGTCCTTTCTGTCTGTTTATAAATAGCTGTTTTTAGTGGCTATAAAATTACAACCACTCAAATTAAGTCTAGAAGGAGAACTGGGCTCTGATACAATATTCCAAAAACAAATAAGATCGCTTTCAAGCTACTCTTTTTGTCAGACAAAATAAACACCGCTATTAAGGGACGCCTAAAAACAGTGGTCTACCGGATTGTCGAAGTTATTCATTTTCTACTAAGCACTCCATCTTTTGGAACCGCATGTACGACCGTACAACTGGAAATTGCGTGGTTTGCCGTAACGGCATAGGTAAACATTGCTTGAGTTCGGATACAATATGCGTAATCTGTAGGATATGCGGCGACGAATGCATTGACGAGGCGGTTAGGCCGCTTTATGTCTGCGTAAAGGGACATCTAGAGGTAAAGTTCAAAATTAAGAAAAAGTACTGTACCGGCAAGACACAATAAGACAAAGTACCCACAAGACACAAAAGCAACAGTGTTTTTAACGTGCTAGTCACGGGTTCCGCGCTAGGAACCAAAACAGCAGTGTTCAAGGTTCTTTAGATAATGTCTTGTTAAGGTTGTTACAAGTGTTTGATTAGGCTAGTGTTTTGCCACCTTCGCCTTATTGATGGTGGCAGTGATTTTGTCAGTCTCGCGGAGTGGGTCTTCCTAGTCACATCCAGTCAAAAAGTGCACTGCTCGAATGGAGTAGCCGAAATGCTTAATGAAGAAAAGTTTAATAACAATCGCATGTTGGCCTATTAAACAAGAAACAAAACATTTAATCGTTACGTTTTGCTTGATGCCCACTACAATTTTCACGTCGGGGTATTATGCGAAATACAACCACAGTGATGCTGAGATATTTGCAAAACTTCGGACCGCAGGTGTCTGTGGTGGGGAACGAACGCGCTATTACCCTTTTCTGGGGTTAGCGTGTTCACCACTACCACGCCATGCGCGTCCTTCGTTTCGCCTGTCTCTCAGCTAGTTCTTAGTCAAAAAGCACTTTGTCATTCCGAGGCTAAAGAAAGGTAATTTTTAAAATGTTCTTTCAATCTATTGAAAAAATTGTTGAAAGAACGAAGGCCTCACTATCATGTGTGAATAAGCATCTTATCTCTGATCAATTATCTGATTTCAGTGACGTTCATTTGTCGTTGTATGAGAACAACATAAGACTTGTCTCGTCCTTTAAGAATGAAAACAGTGGCTGCTTTTATAACATTCAAATATCTGGGTTGATTTATTAATGAGGCTTTTGTGAAGGGTAAGGAATATTCATCGAATAATAGAGATACGGCTGTATAACAGCGTTGAAAAGACAGCGTTCTCTATTTTCTAACGTGTCACCAGTGTTACGTTTACTACTAACATAAGAGACGTATTATAGGATATAGAGATGGAGGGTACTCTCTTCGTAACAGTTAATGGTCGTGATACTTAAGACGTTGACCTTAACGCGATAGCTGCATAAATAACTAGTGACAATCGGAACACAGGATTAACTGAAGAAAAGTTTTTCTTCATATTGAATTGATTAAGTTGCCCCAAGAATAAATAACAAATTAACTATTACAAAAAATAACTAGCAGTTGGTAGAGCAAGTGGAAATGTACGTAAATGGTTGATGATGTCTTCCACAGATGCCGCCTGAAAATAGGTGCTATCGAAATGAGCGAGACTCATTTTTAGTGTTTTTATAAGTATGCATCTATCAGGAGGCAAAGATATTACAGTACGTATCTCAACCATTGCTTCTACATGTTTGCAGCTGCTAACATACAAAAACATTATAGAACACTTCTGCCAAACGCGGAACAAGTACATGAGCCATTAAGGGACATTTTAGAGATAATACAGGAGGAATGCTGTTTAAGCTTAAGTTTAGTAATTCAGAACAGTAATGATGTGCTACAGTGCCTACGTTTCCAATGGAACCGATTAGACTATGTCATTCCTACAAGTGCGAAGTTTTCACGTTCTCATGTTTAGTAATCAAACAACTACTATTACTTCTCAAAGAGGCAGCACTGTCGGGAATATGTTGTTTGCTAAACTACTTTGCGGACAATCATTGACAGGATGGATTTCGTTTCCAAACTGTCGAAACCTCACAAACGTAGTTAGAAGAGCTTACAGTTGTTCTGACAAAATTATGTAACACTGGGGATGGTATACATGTACTATTTCCATCAAAATATCCCTCGTTACAAGTTTTTGAGTAGTTCTATTTCTCTATTCTTAGCATGCATAATATAACGTTTTTTGCGTGTTCAAAAGTCAGGGTGGTTGTGAAGATACTGTAGGTAACCTTTATTCGCAAAGTGGTCGTGTGTGATATAAAAGGATAACGTAGCCGTTCAACGTCGATCAATACCTAAGAGGTGCGCTACGCATTCGTCTTCATTAAACATAGTTAGAGGAGATTAAATGTATGTCTGACCTATAGAATGGCTTTCGGTGGCCTTCCATTGTATCAGTTCAATGCTTCTATCACCTTAGACAACTCTGGTACCAGTTAGCGGACTCGGGGAAGATGAAGGACTTGGTGAGCGCGTGGCACAGGATTACACAACCATTATGCGTTGTCGTGGAACTCTAAACACTGCGCAACGCGCGCTGCTTGTGATATGCTTTCCCCTTACCACTCGTTTTGTAGATATTAGACTTGGTTGGTTTAAGGTAGTTTGGTAACTTGAGTAGTGACAAAATCGTCTAGGATGTCACTGCACCACAGTTTATACGTTTAAGCCCAAATCGTACTTTAATATGGAAAAAAGACCGACTTGGCTGAATGCTTGAAGTTTGAGTGAAGATCGTATTCACCTTTTCTACAAGGTTCTTCTACATATAATAGGGCGATGCGTTGTCCGAACTCATCGTTGCGGGGACGTGACATATTCGGCGCATGTATAGCTGTTGGAAAGTACCTCACATGTTCCTTTGACAATGCTTTTTTAAAATTCGGCCAAATAAGGGAGTTTTTCGGTTAAGAATGTTTTCTAGAGGTTCTTGTCCACATATCGGGTTTCACATCCCATGGAACGGAGTGGGATTCAACAATTTAGCATATTTACTCTTACCACATTTCAGCAGTTTACGGTCGACGACCTCATCAGCCGGTCACAGTCTTTCAATGAAACGCTGAAACCTACTGTTGTGGAAATACTTTCCATTTCGAAGGTATTTGAAAAAGGCAATGTGAACAGCTCTGTTTTTAATTAAACTATGCTGTTCTATGTTACTAACTTCTACTTTTAGGATATGCTTGCTTTTCGTGCTGACTTGATAAGGAATTTCGATTATTTTAAAGAAAACTACACAAAACTTGAGGAGTTAGTTGGTCACACTCTCACGGAACGGGTCCGCCAAACTGTTGACTCATTCGAGACAAAATTGGCGGAGGTTAAAGAGGAGAATGGTGTATGTAGGCTTACTGTTTGTAGTCTTGTTTATAATAACTTCTATCGTTCATATCGTAGTCTCTGTTAACAATAGTTTCGAATTTTGTTAAACTAGTTACGTTTCCAATTATTTATATCAGGTAATCGAAGTATTGGACGCTTTAGTTCTTGTTGGACAAGGTTTTCTCTTCATTTATAAACTATGCCAAATTTTTGACAGAAATTGCTGCAGGTCCTCAGTGCTACGTTGGCGAAGCGGGATAGTGACTTCGAAAATCTTCGAGTTCTTCATGAGGATCAGACTGCATTATGGTCTAATGAACTCGCTACGAAGAATGCAGAACTAGATAAGTAGGAAGAAATCTTGCTTCTTGGTGGTTGATTTTATGGTGTTGTAAGATCCATATTTTTAAACTTAGTTCTTTTGTAGGCTGCGGAATGAAGCAGAGACTCTTGAGGCTAAGGTAAAAACCGTTAAAAGCGAAACATTCAAAGAGGGTATAATAGCAATGGAGCTTGAGAAAAATCGTTTAAGTACTGAGTACGAAGAAATTATTGAGGTATTCTTATCCATGTTTGTTCTGCCGGTAATTTAACTCTGAAGTCTGCATAGTGTTTACTTTTACTAATATTTCGAATATTTTCTTCAATACAACAATTAATGGCGAGGTTTAAATTTTGTCTAATTTGTAAAATAGTTCAGAAGTGAATTTCTTCGTAGCTTATATAAGCTCTTTTTGTAAATCCTAATAAGAATTTTTAGGCTAAAGATGCTGAAATTCGTCAACTATTGAAAGAATTGGAGAAAAAGTCTGCCGAAATTGCGCGTCTTCAATCTGATCCACAAAGCGAAGCCTTCAGAAGGAATGTAACTGCGGAGATACGTAGTGAACTTGAAAAAGATTCAAAGGTGCGTAAATTAATTGGACCGGTTACACAGGATGTTTGCGATAAAAGGTTTTCAGAATAAACTTGACTTGTTGACGAAAGGTATTGTGCAGAAGAAAGATGAAGTTCTTACAAGGATCATGAAGGAAATGCAGTACGAAGCCAAACTTTCACAGCAGGAGTTTGTGCGTATTTTTTCAGTTACTGTGGCCCATGTTCCAACTTTACCCTTATTTCGATGATTTTCAGAACTTCTCTTTGAAGTGGTTAGTGGCTGAACGTGACCGCCTCAAGGATTATATCATCAAAAATTCATCGGAAGGTCGTGCGTTTTGCGAGGCTGTGCAGAATGAGATTCAATCCGCCATAGCTTCATCTGAAGGATCACTAAGTAGGAACACCAATGGATTAGTGCCTCAAGTAAATGTATTCAAAATTAAAAAAAATTTTTTTAGAATTTGTTTATGGCACTTCGATTGCTACACAAACTGAGGTTCCACAACTTCTATCTGAAGGTGAAAAAGTGTACACAAGGTAGAACACAGGGCATAAGATTATCGTACCATATGCTGCTTAAAGATTGAATTAATGTGTTTTAATTACAGCCAGCCTGAAGACATGAGGGAGAGTGCTTTAGCTTTTGAGTGCTTACCTGAGCTACTTGAATCTGCGTATGCTCTTGCACTTTGGTACTGTTTTCTTTACTCCTTTTATCTAGCAATTAGCGTTTTTAAGGGGTGTTTCCGACTATTCGTCGTGTAGTAACAACCAAAGAAATGAAGTTCAGATCCAAACAAAAATAAGTGAGTGGTTTGATAATAGTTTCATTTCGTGGAACTTTTTTCTCAAATATTGATCGTAGGCTTACAATCCATGGATCGAATGATTGCTATTCAAGACATTGATATAGGTTCCACTGTAATAGCTATATGGAACAATGAACACAACTCATACATGTTGTTTAGGTAAACCTGGCATTATTTCCTTTCCTCCTCTCTTTTTGGATGTTGGTATCCTATAATGCTGATGTTTTGAACTGTTAGTTTATTCATAATTTGTTTAGTTCGTCTAGCTACAATTATTTTGTGAAGGAGTCATCCGTACTTCGTCTTGGTCTTTCCACCGAACTTTCCAATGTCCCCCGTCGAAACTGGATTCTTGCGAAAGTTTCTCGTTTGGAGTTTTGCATTGTTCGAAAAGCAGATAATAGGTAATTTGCAAGGCCTTCATCATTGGAAATTATTCAATAGTTATAAGTTTTTTAAGGTATCATCTTCCTGTTAACACCAAGATGTATCGTGTTGAAGTGAAGCCTGTGGATCCGTAGACCAACACTTGCTGAGTGATTTATTTCGTATTCGTTACTTTTGCAATCTGAACTACCTGGAACAACCAAATCTTCATTCTATGCGTTACGTTAACTATTCTTTGTTTTTTAAGAACTAGTGCTGTTTGTTAACTGTAGAACAAATGTAAATTCGTTTTCTCGAATAGGAGGACATTTCCAAAATGACTGAGATCTTTGCCTTAGGAATACCAAATACGTGTGATCGAAGTTTACCGGTCATAGCTTTCTCTGTTTTAATTTTCCTGCCTGTTATCAATGTTAATTGTGCTGTACACCAAAGTGCTCTTTGTTTACTACGCTCTCTTAAGCGTTCTGTAAATTCCTGTGTTTTTCTATTAACATTAACCTCGTCCTTTTCGTTACGAGTACTCCATCATTTTCCTCCTCTGCCATGGTTCTGAAGAATATTTGTGATTGTTTCTTCCAAAATTGGAATTTTTGTTTTCAAATTTTACTCAGGTGTTCATACAACGCATGTGCTATTGTTCTGTTGAAGTGCCCGGCTTTCGTTCATTTTATCGGATTTTGCGCAACACATAAGAGTTTATATTAACTTTTACTGTGTTAGTCATTAAGTTGTTCACACAGATTCTTGTCGCCCAGTAGAGCTGCCCAGTGGGCACCGCTCATAGGTGAGGCGTTAGGACTATCATACATTTTCTTTTCGGCAGAGGAATGCTCGGAAATAGCGTGTAGAGCTCCATAGCGTGTAGAGCTCCATAGTTTGTCCGGAACAATGTTAAGGAAGGCTGCTCCAAATTTATTCTTAAGTACTTCCCATCTAATTGATTCTGAGGTTTTGTTAGGGTCGAATTGCAGAGTCGACATGTTCACAGATGCATCCATGAAGCATCTTCGTTTCTCAGTATTCATTGGTTATTTTCTTTAGATTTATTCACTGTTTGGTCTTCTTCCCGTGTTTCGTCGAGTTTTTCTTAGCATAGTGTTTATTCAAATGTTACTTTGCGAAAGCAAAATGGTTTCGGTGAGGCGTTCGATCACTAAATGAAGGCTCAAATGTATTGTGTGATTACATATATGGTGGAGTAAAGCGAACCAAATGCATTATGTCTTCAGCATTTCTTTTTCGGCTGTTTAAATTCCTAAACGGAAGATTTCTTTATCACTATTCGTGCTTAAGCGATAGCTTATTCAATATGTATTGTGTCAGACGTGGTCTTTGGAAAGTTGTTCTCTTCACTTAATAGACCTGCTTTCGAACCAGTTTGTTTAGCGACGCGAAACATCGCTGTGGAAGAGAATATGCACACTGCGCCACGGAGACCTTTGCTCTGCGTTTGTCTCAGCTAGTTTTTTACCCAACGATGCCATCAGCATTCACCCGTCAGCGGTATTGATCTGGCAAGCACAAATCAGCATTGAACCCAGTTAAGCCTCCGTGGCAGAGTGTAATGCACGAGCTCCCGGAAAGGGAAATCGTGGTTTGATCTGGCCAGGGGTCCAAGTTTTGCGAATATCTCAGCATCATTGTTATTGTGATCCACATAATATCCTCCCGTGGAAAATTATAGTAGGCAGAAAATAAAAGGTTAACATTGTGATTCCACAATTAGTTGCCATGCTCTAGGACCAGTGGTTCCGCTTTTTTTTTAACGAAATGCTGAGTTGACGGTGTGGTTTCACCGCTGTTTCCAATTTGACGTTCATCTTGAAAGCTAGATCTTAACCATATGATTATTATAGATTTCTTATGCTCTTTTATTCCATTGAGCTAGCAACTGTTCTCTATTCCACTGTCTTACGATAGAAGCAGCGTACCAATTTTCTTTGACAGCTGATGTCTTGTGCTTAAGATATGTTCTTCTCTTTAGTAAGTCTTTATCCAAAAGACGAATGATGTACTAGATTTCGATATATATATATATATATATATATATATATATATATATATATGTTTTCTTTCATCCATTAAATCGTGCTTGAGCTTTATCATTACATAATGGTGTACATATCCAGTTATGAAAGGATCGCTGCCGGCATATACCAAAATGCAGTTGGGATAGAAATTCTAATGCCCAATTTTAGTACCTAGGTTCCACATTTGTGCTCCTCATATGGGACATACGGACTGGAGGCGACAGCATGTGTCCAACACACCTGTTACTCAGGCGGTCTGTTTGCTTTGATGCAATTCCTAGTGTGAAGTTAGTTCTGTTATCTAAACTTGTACAACTTGCCTTATCGGTCGAACGTTGTGTCGGCAGAAATCGAGAGTAGTCAACATGCCTTCTAATGTTCTCATAACATAATATGTAATAGTGACGAATGTCAGAGGAAGCTGGAAAACTGCATTCCCTCAACTGTGGTACTCTACTAATTCTCATCCTAAAACTTCTGGTTATAGATCTTTTCGTCTTGTTAGCAGTTTTTCCATCCCACAGCACATTCTTCTGCACTGCATATCTTTTCGTCTCGACTATAGGTAGCTTCCAAACGTTGGCTATAAATGACTCATGTAAATTTAAATTGCAGCCTTAATAATGGTGAAATATCAGCAAAACTCGAAACATCAGTTGCGCGTCAAACAAGTGTTTACTGGATATGGTTCACACCAACTGATGCCGTTGATTTATCTCTCTTAGTCATGTTTTTAGCCTATCGATCTTATCAGCGATCACTCACCAGCGGTAACGATAAAGGAGTCTGGGGTAAGGGAAGATTTGAATCATTGTGATTTCTACTGCACGTTCAGGTTAACTGGGTTTAGATACCGATTTGCGCCTCCCAGATCATTTCCGTTGACGGTTCGTGGTTGACAGCACGGATGAAGTAAAAAGGTGGCTGACAAAAAAAACAAAGCAAGAGCTGCAGTTGGTGTGATGCCTCCGTCAGGGGTAATCGCGGGTTCGAAGTCCAATTGAGGTTACCAGTTTTGCTCGTGTCTGAGCATCCTTGTGGCTGTATTTCACATAAGACCCTGCCATGAGAAAAGAATAGGCATGGAATAAAAGTTAAACATTGTAATTTCACACAAATGTGTCGGTTATATGCATCGAGCTAAAAGTTTTATATCCACATCAGATTGGGATCAAAGCTCCAGTTGCTGTCAGAATTCGCCGGTGGCTTCGTCGTCAGCACTGTCATTATATTTCTTCGTTTCACTGCGTCAAAGCAATTCGACAAAAACCACATAATGTATTATTCCTGATGATAAATCGGTCGGAACCAATGTTAAGGTAGTTGTCGGCTGACATATCTGCAGACTATAATATTCGATAAATCTTGACTACCAAAATCAACCCAGAGCGAGAAACAAGAAGATTCATCACAAGGACGAATTTTGATGCCATCAAGATAGAGGTGGGTAGGATGGAGAAGCAATAAGGAAGAGATCGATGAAGAATGTATATAATGACATAGCTTTACAAGGCGGACGAATTTTGATGCCATCAAGATAGAGGTGGGTAGGATGGAGAAGCAATAAGGAAGAGATCGATGAAGAATGTATATAATGACATAGCTTTACAACGCGATGCCTTATATGCCTTTTACACGGATCTTCTAGAATACTCCTCCAGAGTCAAAAAACAAGGACTCTATCCGAAAACCGACTTTCTACATGCCTCGGCATTAGTCAATAATTCACTGTCTTTCTTCAACGAGTGAGATTATAGCATTTATTAACACACACGACAGCTAACGCTTCAGTGGTTTCGCCTTTTTCAGAGCCTGGAAGGGTCAAATTGGCATGCAGTCTGCTCAGCCAAACACTTTCATGACCCTAGCAGACAAAACTTGTTACATACATTTTCATTTGCAAAGTAAACAGCTTAAATATAAACAAGCTGTTTATTGTACGAACGCAAATTTATAGGTTAAGGATTATCTGCTGAAGTTATGGAAGTGTTTGGCTGAGTAGATTGCATGTCAATTTGACCTTTACAGGCTCTGAAAAAGGCGAAACCGCCGAACCGTCAGCTACTGTGTGTGCTAATGAAAGCTATAATACCAACCTCGTATTTACTCATTGAGGAAGAACGGTGAAGCTTGACTGTAATTTGCTCAAAAGTATTCAGAATCCTGCCTATTCTTTGAGGCTGCCAGTTTTTGATTGACTACCTCTTTCTTGATCTTTTACTTACAGCTATAGAAGAGGCTTTGTTTTATCGATCGAAAGGTGTATATGTTACTATTCATTGTATTTAACTGTAGTTAATCGTCCTAACACATTGCTCTCAGCGTTTGGAATGATTTCAAAACTTATATTCAGTCCTAGCTTCTATTTACTGTCTATTCTTTCTTTTTCTTTTCACGGCAGATTACCATGTAGACTACAACCACAAAAATTCTGAGATATTAGCAAAACTTAGAAGTTTATTTGGGTTTCGAACCCACAACTACCTTTACAGGGGACTCATGTGCTATCTACTACACCAACCAAGGCTCTTGTCTTACCGTTCTTTCAACCATTTTCTCCATCAGTACTATCAACAATCACTCGTCAACGAGAATGATCTGAGAAGCAGAAGTCTGTATTGAACCCAGTTAAGCTCAGGCTGCAATCGAAATCGCAGTCGTTTAACTTTTACTTACTGCCTATTCTTTCTTCATGGCAGGTTGAGACTGACTATTGATTTTTGTTATTGTATTTTGAGTGTTTTGTAAACTAGCTTCCATTTAAGCTGTTTGTGGATAACCAATGTATTTTTTCATTGATAAGCTAATACGAAGATATTACAAAACGTTTATTCGTCTAACTTTTCCTTGTCTCTCTGAGAGACAATGATTCGAGTCGATTGTCCACAGCCTTTCGTCCATGCGACAGACGTCTTCGTGGTCGCAGTGGATCGAATTTTCTGGAGTAGCGCATATCTTGAATGAAGTAACCTCACTTGGCAGTGCTCTGCTATTTATGCAGGTCACTTCTTGACTGATTGTCCATTGAAGATAATTTGTTTTCATAAAGACAATCCCGCTTTATAGCAATCGGTATTAGATTAACTGCGAAAAAATACGTTGATTATTCACATCGAGGTTAAATAAAAGTCGTTTGGCAAAACACTCGGCATAGATTATGAAATCCTTTGAAATGCTGACATCAATTTGTCTGGGTAGTGAACCATAGTAAAGTATTGTAAATAGTAGCACATATGCCTCCAGAGGGAGGGGTGCGTGTGGTGCAGTGGTCGGAGGCATCCTGCAACACACACGTATCCATCACATCGCCCATGGCCCACCAAGCCTTCCATCTTTCCGGGGTTGGAAAATTGGTACCAAACTTTTCTGGGACGATAGCAGCACTGACTCAATACATTGGTAGGCCACCGCGAGTCATTGTAAAGGCCAGATATGCATTCAATCACCTCCAAACGATGCTTAATGAAGTCGAATTCGTGGTGCATCCCTCAGGGATTGATCAACGCCGTGTACTTTATCCTTTTATCCTTTTATGCCTCCATATCGACAAAGCAGACCCTCTTCTATAACTGTGTTATGTTCTCAACCACATAATTCCTGTAGCGCTCGAAAATTTAATGATCAAAAAAACCCTCATTAACTTAACTTACTCGCCGCTAAGTGCTCTTATTTGTGTAGTCACAATGGAATTAAGCATAATTTCACACAACAGACACGAGAATGTGAGCCTGGGGCGTTATGCGTGGATAGAGATTTCCCTTAGTGCTTCTGCCCTTTCGTAGCAATCGATGATACCGCTTTGTTTGCTTCTATGGATATGGTAGGATCCAATAAAAAAGTTGTAGTTCTCTTCTTGGTACAGCTGCACTAGCAATCGGAATAGAGTTCTACTTTTCGATTCACAAGCATTGTTAGAGTGAAGTTCTTTTCGTGCTTATGGAAGGTTTTTTTATTAGACATAGTGGAAACAAGAGGCAGTTGGTATTTCTCACAGCATTCTGTGACTCTAGCTACGGTTTCGACATATTCCATATAGTAAGCCGCTTATTGGAATTCAGTTTGGTGCACTGGTTGTTATTAATGCCGAGTTATCAGTGAACGTGAAAAAAATAGTCGTATTGCGGAGAACATTCAGGAAAGCGTGAATATCGGCATCGGAATGGATTGTTCTGCTGTTGCAGATATACAGAAGGAAACCGTCTGTATAGCCTCTCGTGGCCGTGTTGTTCTGATCCGGTTCTAACGACCTCTTCTAGAACTCGAGATTCAATCGCCACTCAACGGTCGCCTAACCGCGTGCATTTCGTTCCGAGACTACTCCATTTCTAGTTAGTCGACCGAGCTTTTTTTTTATGGAGTTTTGAGCTTGTTTTCTACAGCGTTGACAAGTTGTGGTAGTAGCCTTCCATAAGGCAAAACTATTTGTCGTTCATGTCGTTATGAGATTTACAATTAAATTTTGCAACCAATATTTCTGCATCCGTCATTGCTGTGAGCAGTTCTGAAGTTTGTTTCTTGCTTAAAATTTGCCATGCAGAACTTTTACCGAGGCTTCGCTTACAGTGATTTTAGACCGATTTAAACGACGCTCTCGAAACATCAAAATCTCATCGTTTTGTTTCATTAGCTCGACCGTGGACATAAATCAGTAATACTAGAAATATCGTTGTCGTTCTTATCGCACAATTGGCCTTTGTTGGTGGAGAATTGCTACTGCGCGCCACTTGTCTGTCAGAAATTTCGTTGAGTAGTATAAGAACACATCATTCATGATTTAACAATGTTCACTTTCTCGTCTATTCTAGAAATGTCAACAATCTCGATTAATGTATGCCACACTGATTGAGTGGGAGGCAGACAAGTCGGATGGTCGTTTTTTCGATTACGTGACGAAAGCAGTATTGTTACTTATTATGAATAAAGGATTATAAGCAACGGTGTTCAGCTGATGCTTGGATTGAGATGAAGCTCCCAAACATTTCGCAGAGCTGAATTAGCGTCATAAGAAGACTGATTTCTTTTTCCTTTACAACAGATGGAACTGCCTAGTCAAAGTCCATTAGTCATGAGGAAATGATCGCAGCAGAGGAATGCTGTCACAAAATCGATGAGTTCCTACAAAAAGCACGGTTTATTTGTTCGCAAATGACGAACAGAAAAGGTCTGATCCTTTCGCCAGAAAACTATCGATCACATATTGCACAAATAGCGCTAAAACACGTTAGTGAATTGTGGTGTGAAACTCCTGCCTTCCACTTCCGCCATACACATTGGTCCTCTAGTTTACTGCTATTCACTTTTCAAGCCTCTCGACAAAATGCATTTGAAAAAGCCGAAAGCTAAAGAAACTTCTGTCTTGCTGAGAACATTATGTGGATTCTTGTAGCACTCACTTTGACTAGTGAAATCGTGTTTGGGCTGTTATTTAGCATTTCAGGACTTCAATATCTTCATGTAAAAACGGCAATTATTTCTTGTATCAAATTCACTGCAATAGAAGCTTCTTGTGCGTTGTTCACAATGACGAATCCTAAGATGAAATGCGCTTCCAGACGTATTGTTGTGTACCGTCACAAGCCTGGTGTGTTTGTTCTGTTGTTGCTCAGTTCTGATCGTGGTTATGAATAGATATTCATGAAAATCTCTCCTTTAGCCTCTTTATTGTTTCCATATTTGCAACATTAGAAACATTTCTCACACTGGAGGTGTCATATCTAAAATACGGAGATTTAGCTTACGTTCTGATGTGCCTCAATTTATCTGTCTATCTTTTCGTATCTTTTGCAAGACTGATTCCTATACAAAGTGGTCTGGTTGGGATTTCTGTTCCGTATTTGGCTATCATAGCCATTCGGGCCTTGAAAATCGATAAACAATGCTCAGAGTCCACAGTTCGTTCGACCGCCATTCCAACAGGTTATAGTTCTGGAGGTGGCCAATGATGGTTTTTGTTAAGTGGTGACTCGTTCACCGCACTCGCTCCGTTGCCCTATCGCGCTCATGTTGACAGAGTGCATCCCAGTTCGTAGAGAAACGATTCGGATTAGGCAAAATGGTCTTTTTCGCGAATGTTTTGATCTTCATGTGACATGTGACATGTTGAGCTTGCATGTCATGTTCAAAATTCTCCATAGTTTGCAAAACTCTGGACCGCAGGTGTCTATGGTGGGGAACGAACGCGCTATTATCCTCTCCGGGGAGTAACGCGTTCACCACCACACCATGCGGGTCCTTTGTTTCGCACGTCTCTTAGCTATTTCTATCGATCTTTTTGCCACAGCAATCACCCGTCAGCGGGGTTGATCTGGGGTCCAGAGTTTTGCAAATATCTCAGCAACGTTGTGGTTGTATTTCGCTTAGTAACCTGCCATGAAAATTATAGAAGGCAGAAAACAAAACGTTAAACATTCTCCATAGTATTCACCTCATACATCCGTGGTTACAGGATTATTCTGTTTCATATCTCTTATCTTTAGATTTATTTCCGTATCGTTTCTCACCTCTCAACGGTTTACCGCCTCACCGTAGCTAGGAGGTGTTTCTGGGTGTCGGACTTCGATGTACAGCGAGGGATTCATACGCTGGCGAATCTCCCAAGCTCACAAGGAGTGCGGCGTTTCCATCAGGAAGCCTAGCTAAGAGTAAACCAATACCAGGATCCACCACCGTCCTCGTATCAAAGTTGCATGGTGGCAAATCTCCCTCTGATCCACAAGGGCTGCGACTGCCTGTGGTAGTGAAGACCTGGGGCAAACTTTGGCCAGGCTGACCTCGGGACTCCAGGGAATCATAATGCCTTAACCAGCAAATGTCCGAGAAATGGAGATTGGGCTGGGGTCCACACAACCATTGAAGACGGGCCATTCAAGTATCAAGTAAGTATCGTTTCTTACATATTTGTTGATTCTGTTCGCGGTTACTCCAACACACCAACGAAGGTTGTGCTGCACGAGATTTTGCTTTAAGCACTTTCCACATACAATTCGATTGTCCTGCTTAGGCGAAATTATAAATTACGACCAGCGGTCAGGTTGCGATTTGCGAGTTCTCAGTAGCTCTCAGAATCGTTGATAAATAAGTGTGGTAAAATTCACTTGTGGATTTTTGGTAGTGTAAATGATATCAGTTTGGGCTTAAAGTGTCTCATTGGCATGTCAATATCCCATGGCCGATGATATATCGTTGATGCTGCACAATAAAAATTCATTTATTTTTATAAAACCCTTTGTGTCACAGTTACCTCTTCTCAGTGTGACAAGCTATATGAACTAATTAAGCGCTCGTTCTTAATCGTGGCTTATTTTACCTGTTAAGAATTTCTTCAGTTCCATGTTCCCTATTTTCCTGCTAAAATGGTCTGAAAAAAGATAGAATTGAGTAAAGCGAACCAGAAACACTGAAAGGAATGACAATGAATTCCTCCTTCCTACTTCAGTGGGCGAGAAATAAGACATCTGAAAAAGTTAGAATAGTCTTCTTAATTTGTTATCGCTGAAAACACGTGCAATATCTAATGTTATAGCGTATTTGCGCGATTATAGAACTAGTTTTGGGTATTATGAGCGATCTATTTTTGTTGTGGTTTGCCACTCACTGTTTAATTGTCATAAAATATGGCATTCTAGGAGAAAAAGGATGACTGTTGGTGGACCACTGATCACACTTTCCAATGGGGTGAAGATGCCTCAGGTTGGCTTGGGAACATGGCAGGTTAGAGTTTTTTTTCAAACTCCTGGTTTACGTCAGATATGTTAGTCTGCTTTAGTCCAAAACGGATGAAGTGAAAGTTGCTGTGAAAACTGCCCTAGAGACCGGATATCGGCTAATTGATACAGCCTCTTGCTATCACAATGAGGGCGCTATCGGTGAAGCAATTCATGAACTGATCAAGGATGGTAAAATCAAGCGCGACGAGCTCTTCATTGTTACCAAGGTACTACGATTGTTTTGCACACTGAAAGTACCTCTTTCCACTTACAAAAATATAGTGCCACTATAAATGAAAACAGTAGTTTTGTAGTTTTACAAGCAAGTCCAGCTAATTCAACATTTCAATTAATTGTCAAAAGGTGCAGAAGTACTTTCTTCTAGATGTACGTTATTTGGAATTTGCGCCACTGAGAGCTAATAATAAAGTATTTTAAATAACTCAGACATCACTTTTTCTGGAACTGTCAGTGAAAGGTAATTGATGAATTTACCAGCAAACCAAGCTTTCTAAACAGAAATTCGTGCTCTGTTCAGTCCCACTGAAGTTATGTATGGTTTTTTTACATGCCGAATTTCGGAAGTATCACATTTTGCGCGTATCCCATCAATTCTTGCATTCAATTCATTTCCTCAAATTCATCACTGCCAAAGTTCTTCGAGTTTTTGCACTGATTCGAACCGTCTATTTCTGGAAAAGGAAGCGCGAATGGTTTATCTTTGAAGAAATTTATTCGTGCCGTGGATATTAATTTACTATGAATGAACACGGCTAGTATTGGGCGCGTGTGGCACAGTGGTTGGAGGCGCCACTGCGACGCACACGTGGCTTTTTTAGAGCTTTATGAACACGAGTCCTGTTAAAATAGTAATGATGTATCTTTGATTTTACTCTGGTCTTAAAGCTTTCCTTCTTAAAGTTCTACATATTTAGGCTTAAAAAAAGTATAAAGCTCTCGGCGTTGATCAAGCCCTGAGGGATGCGCCATGCATTCCACTTTGTAAACCATCGTTTGGAGATGATTGAATGCATATCTGGCCTATACAATAACTCGCGGTAGCCCACCGATGTATCGAGCCAGTGCTGCTATCCTCCGAGACAAGTCTGGTACCAATTTGCCAACCCCGGAAAGATGGAAGGCTTGGTGGGCCATGGGTGCGGGATCGATTCCACATTTGTGTTGCAAGGCGCCTCCGACCACTGCGCCACACACACCCTTTAGGGTTAATGAACAATTACCCGGACAGATAAAAGGCAGTATTTTCAGTATCGGACCCGTCTAGATTGTATACCCATTCTCACCAATAAACGAGGCGCGTCTTTGCCATCTTTGGCAATGGATGGAAACTGTCTTCTCCCTGATTACCGAATTCGTGTCGCCAAGCTATATATATTGAATTCAAAATATTTTCTGATTTAAAAAATCGGCTTTCATTCAACTTCGACATTAGTAATGATTATGTTACATCACTAAACAAATGTGAGGTTGTTACTAACTTTTATTCGCCTAACGTTCACAAGTCTTCGTCTTTTTCAGAGCCGTATTGATTCGAGCTGATCGTGTATAGCCATTTGTCCTCGCTATTTTGGTCCTCGTTGTCGTACTTAGTTGAATCCTCTAAAGTGGTGCACTGGTCTGGAAAAAAATGGTAGCCGTCCGACAATTAGTTGATCAACAAGTGTGCTGTATAAAAATGCATCACCGAGAGGGCTTATTTCATTCGAGAAAACACTCCAGAATATTCTACTCGATGGGACAACGATGATCCACATCGCGAGATTGACCGGCTGTGCACAATCGGCTCGAATCATAGCGGTTTGAACAAGGCAAAACTTTGAATCGTTAACGAATAAGATTTTTGTACCAATTTTGTATTGATTCCCAAGACCGACTTTCTGTTAACCTCGGCATTTATTGATAATTCAATGTTTTTCATCAATAAGCAGACACGAGGTTGTTAATATAGAATTTATTAGAACACAATTGCTGACGTTTCGGCGGTTTCGCCTTCTTCAGAGCCTGGAAAGGTCAAATTGAGATGTGAAAAAAAAAACTAAGCTCTGGGTTTGTAGATTGGTGTTAAACGCGAGCCAAAAGCAACCTTGTACTTTTCTGAGACCCAGGTAGACCCAGACGATAGAGTTCCTGTTTCTGCATTTAACATAATTTCTCGACCAATGTAGACGAGTTCATGGTTGGGTGGGTGTGTTCGTATATATGCAGGTTGTATTCAAGTGTTCAACAAATCATTTTGGTCGAAAGCTTGCAATCAAGTGATAAGAGGTATTATATATAGGAGGTGGCTAAGAGACATCTTCAACAGCTAAGCTCCAAATCTGATCTGGGAAGGCCTGGTAGGCTACCCTCGAGTATATCCATTCGCCGCTATGAGGGCTTGGCAAGCCACCTATGGGTGTCGACAGCCAAACACAGTAGGAGAAATGGACCTCATCCCCATGATCCCAAAACAGCCCCGGATACAGCAGCGTTGGGCGCGCGATAACAGAGAGGCTACTAAAATCTCAAGGCCATTATAATCTGCCTATATCTGAAAGGCCTAAAATGACCATCTATACTTATAATACACGCCGATCTGCATCTGTGTTGTCCATTGAGGACGTGGTGATACGGAGCAAGAGACTTAGGTGCGGTGCCATTGGATTAGGCAAAACAAAAAGATATAGCAGATTTAGAGCTGTCTATAATGACGAAGAATTACTGTTCTTTGTAAAGCGCAACACTAGAAGATTTCGCGACGGTGGAGTTCTCGTCAACATTTGTTTCATTATGAACATTAATTTGGTCGAACAACTAACAACGCGAATCAGATGCGTACGGCTGAAGAGATGTCGATCAATACTGGCTTTGATAATCCTTATAGTCTACTCAACCACATCAGTTATGTCGAAGGCGAGGTAGAGACGTTCTGTACAGATTTAAAGAGGTTTTTGATAGAAGTGAGTATTTGTTTAAGGTCATCATTGGGTATTTTAATGCTAAGACCCAGAAGAACGTCTGAAAAGCGCCACACTGAGATCTTCGAATTAGAATGGAACAAAAAGGATGGAGGCTATCTGAGTTCATCGTGACAACCAAGACCATTCGTGGTGATGCACAATTTCAGAGGGCCCACTCTCAAGGTTAGGCGTGGGTCTCTTCCAATGGAGAGTGTTAAAGTGAAATTGCTTGAATAATAGATGATTTCCTAATCGGTAATGCTGTTACCTTCAAATTTAATGCAGGATCAGACTATCGCCACAGGATTCCTTTTTGACAAAACCGAGCTATCATAACATGAGGTCACTAGGCAATTATTCGTAAGACTGTTGTTGATAACATCGGCGAGGAAAATAATCGTCTTATTCAACATCTTCACGTAAATGCTAAAAAAGACCGTCAGTTCCACAGACACAAAGAGACGTATTGTTCTGTGTGAATGTTCAACCTAATGCCAAGCTTGGAATCGAACGAGCCACAAGCAGTCGTAAACTGGAATCCGAAAGTGCAAAACTCTGAAACAGAGCGACAAAGGAAGGTCTCGAGGACAATGAAAGCAGCACTAATGGCTGAAGCTGCAGCGCTAGTAAGAGCACTCGTAACGCCTTCCTAAAATCCTCCAATGATCAGACCACAATGCTCACACTCCGATGCCCAGAACTAGGTGTTACGGGTTTCAGGTAGGCAATAGAGGGAATTATCCGCGCTTACTACTTTTATCTCTTCAATAGCCACTTTCCCTTGCCCTCATATTAAATAATTAATGAATATGTTGCCTCACATGTTCCTCCTTTTGAAATCCGACTATTTCGTCAGCGAAAAGTTGTACAACACTGAGGCTGTACATGAAAAGATCCGAATATCTGGCAAAACCTTACTCCAGGTCACGTTAACAAACTGGCGCAGCTCTTTACGCTTTGCCTGTCAAAATACAGGATTCCTGTTCAGTTGAAGGCAGTATAACCGTGTTGTTATACAAAGAGCGAGACACCCACAGCATATGTAACTATTGCCCAATCTTCCCGCTGTCTGCTCTTTATAAATCCTTCACTAGAATCACCGTCAACAAGATTGAGTGAACGCTGGACGCAGTGCAGCCATGTGAGCAAGCAGGATTGCGAAAAGGGGTCAGTGTGGTAGATCGCACCCACACTACAGCGAGACTCATTAAAACACCACGAGAGAACAAGAGGCTGCCCTTACTTTTTCGTCTACTTAAAATACCCTTTCTACGCACAGGCAAAACATCACCATTCTCTGCCGACATGAACGTCGATATAACGATTAGGATTTGACAAGACGATGTCATTTCGCCAAAATTATTCACAGCTACCTCCGAGAGTGTCGTATTTCACAAAACGTGGAAGAAACAATACTCTACCACTCTGAGTGAGATAAAATAGGAATGGAATTCAATGGTCAGCAACTGCACTATCTCTTCTTTGCTGATGATATCGTTCTTATAACATCAAGCGTTAAGGGTGAAAACTGGCTAAATTCTTGGATGCTTGTAAGGTAAGTCTTTAACTCCATCTTAAGAGGACTGTGTTCGTAAGAAACAATTTGAATCTGATTCCCCTCCTACGCTCAGCGATACGAATAAGAACGACTTGATTCCATTGTTGAGCAAAAGGAAACGAAGGGCTTAGGGAATTTCAAAAAAGTAGAGGATGCAATAGGGAAGAACAGGAACGCTCGTCTCTATGGCCACCCTTTCGACATCGCAATTCTTTCTGCCTTAATGTATGCGTCAGAAAGCTACAGATAAGTTAGCAGAGTGGAAGATCACTCCGCACTATTAACGTCCAGAGGACGATCCTAGGAGTTTTCTATTTCACGCACGTGAGAGAGAAACCGAACTTGCGATCCATGTCGATGATCAAAAGTAAAAAAGAACTGGAAAAAATTAGTTGGGCCGAACATGTGGTGCGTGCTAGCGATAACCAGTGAAAGAAACAGGTGATTCAATCCACAATGTGTGAAGTGCACACTAGGAAGACCACCTACCCAATGGGCAGAGTTAGTGGTATGATCCTAGAAAGAAGTCATGATACTCAGCAATTTCTTTGCACAAACATACCCTATAGGGCTAGTTTTGTATTCGAGTGGGATAAGTGGAGACTTCATTGGTGCCTACTCAGATCCGTCGAAGCTCAACGGTATGGCAGGTGGTACAAGAAATGATAAACCACGTTAGAGTATATTATTGCATGACCCGTCATCACATCTGCTGTATGGTCTCGAGCACTCTTCACATTCGTTTGTTTCTTCTCGCATTCATTGTTCGCAAAGCTGTTTGAACACTTCGCGTGTTTTTTCGGCTGCTGTTTGAGGCTTTCTACTTTAGAGGTGTCGCGCATTAGTGGTCAAATCGATTTTCGTTTGCAATCTTGGGATAGTGGTGTAAGGAGTTCCGATGGAGAGCGAGGAGGGCGTTAGGTAGGAGGTGGAGCCAGGGCCTTGCTTCCTGATGAACCAAGCCTACACTAAATCATTGACCATTCCACTACACCCTCCTCACTTATAAATTAAATTTCGTGTGTAGAAATGGAGGCAGATAGCACAAAGGTAGTGTTGCCCGTAATCACGAGCATGGTGCTAAGTCGATTCCGCTTCGGGCCAACCCAGCCTCTCATCCTTCCGGGGTCGGGAAATTCGTATCGGATTTGTCTAGGAAAAAAAGTCACTCTCTGCAATCCAGTTGGGAGCGCTCCAACTTGGCTATCTCAAGACTCCAGGGAGAATTCCTCGACCAGCATTCTACGACATTCAAGATGGAATGAAATTCCTCAAGCATCAACCGAAGCCACACGTAAGGTTGGAAGATGTTCGTTGATAATGGATGCGAGGAAACGAATCGAATGTGGGAAGTATTGGGATCCGCATGGGAGACGTGAAGACGGGTCATATAAAAAAATTTAGAACAATTTTTAAAAAAGTGTGTAGAATGAAGAACACAGGAACGAAAAATCCCCACAGTGAATATCACCTCAAAGCGTGCAGCTTGGCCTCTGGAATTCGTGGTGCCAGGCAACAGAATGCGTAACAGAGAAGTATGATCTTTGTAGGTGTCAATCCCAGCATTAACTAGATATGTCAGTTAGCGATTTATTGTACTCTCAATCGAGCGATTAATTCTACTGGTGTTTTTTATTTTGTATTATTTTGTGGCCAGAAATTAAATTTAATATACGAGCAGGAAATTTAATTTCAACTTACACTCTCAAGTATCTACTTAGACACATCCGGTACTTGAGCGGGTTGATGTCACAGACAATTTCACACTTTACATTTCACTAGGTTTCTATTACTTGGGTAGTTTGATCCTCCCAGTGCCCTTACACATTTGCGCCATGATATAAAATGGGAAATTAAAGGAAAAAATTGAGATAGGAAATGTATAGGAAATTTGAAATTATGTTACTGCGACAAATGTTATTGGTTTAGAAGAAGTATAGCTGAAGACAGAACCTGACTCATGCTCCTCTATACCAGATATAACACATTTAATAGGAAATTCTGTTCTGCGACACATCCTAAAACAGTTAACAATGGAAAACTCAGGATTAACTCACTCTATTCACAAGATACTTAAGGGACGATTGAAAAAAATTCCATGCCCACTGGAGAAGTTGAGGTAAATCGAAGCACAAATATTATCAATAGTAATCGTCATATGGATTACATAAGGATCTCCATCATATGAGGGATCTCGAGCCGGTTAGTCGCCAGGCTACGTGGCGCGCCTGCAGGTGGCGGCTAGGGGGCTAATTGCGGACCAAAAGCGACTTTTGCTTTGCTGAGACGCAGGCGGATCCGGGGAAGACTCTCTGTTTCTGCTGCGCCGATTTGGCACACACTTTCTGTATTAGGTAGGCGTATTCATGCATGCGTGTGTAGGTGCGTTCTCGCTTATGCGGATTGTATTCTACGAGCCAATTTGGTCAAAAGCGTGTAATCAAATGACAGGGAAGTACATGGGAGGCGGTTAGGAGTTGCCTCCAAAAGTTAAGCTCCATGTCTACTCTGGGAGAGCCTGGCAAGCTACCCGTGAGTATACCCAGCCCCCATATTCAGAGCCCAGCAAGCTATACGTGGGTATCAAAAATGCTAAACACAGTAAAAAAAAAACGGGCCTCATTCCCATGATCCCGAAAGAACCCCCAATTTCGCAGCGTTGGCTAGGACGAGTGCGGAGAAGCTGCTAAAATCTCAGGGCCAATGGAAGCTGTCTGGATTTCAAAGAACTATGGGGATGATCTGTACCTACAATGCACGTACACTTGCATCCGAGTCCTCGATAAAAGACTTGCTCAAGCAAGCAGGAAGGTTAAGGTAGTAGTCGTCTATAGTCGGCACATCGGCCTGGCCGAGACGAGACGATGCCACCCATTCAATGCCGCCTGTGACACCGGAGAAGAAATGTTCCTCGGAACATGCGACAGTAGAGGAGTCGGCGGCGTCGGCGTTCTCGTCAGCACGAGTTTGTCCATGAACATCGACTCATTCGAACAGCTTACAACCCGAATCGGTCGTTTAAGATTAAAAAGATGTGGGTCAAGACCAGCTTTGATAATCTTCGTCGTTTGTGCACTGACATCAAACTATGACGAAGAAGAAGTCGAAGCGTTCTCTATGGACATGTAGAAGTTCTGCAGAGAAAACCATACATTCTTCAAGGTCATCATTGGAGATTTCAACGGCAAGATTGGACCAAGAAGAACGTCTGAAGAACGTCACATTGGAACCCATCGATTAGAATGGAGCGAACAGGGTGAGCGCCTGTCTGAGTTTATCACGGCGACCAAGACAATCCATGGGAATTCACAATTCCGGAAGCCCCACCCTCACCGCTGAACGTGGGAGTCTCCCAATGGAGAGTACCGTAAATAAATAGACCACGTCATACTAAACAGGAGGTTTTGCCTAACCGATGTCGCTGTTGTTCCAAAGCTCTACACTTGATCAGACCCCCGTCTCCTCCGTGCAAGATTCGATTTCTCGCGTAAAGGAGAAAAAGCCGCTAAATTCAAAAACCGACGTTCGAGAACCACCGTAAGCTGGGATTTATTCATTAGTCGGCTGTTGAGAAGATGCCGTTTTCGAAAACATCGACGAAGAATGCGATCGGCTCATACAACATTTTTACGTTAGCGCTATGAAAGCTGATTGTTCGAAAGTCCCTAAGAGACGTGTGCCTCCAGAAACATTCGAACTGATCCCCCAGCATGGAATTGCACGAGGTGCAGGCCACCGCGAACTAACGTCTGAACTTGCAAAACAATGCAGAGGCGATAAAAGAAGATCCTAAAGAGAGAAGAGCAACAGTAATGGTCGAAGCTACTTAGGCTGTGAAAAGCGTTCGCAAAGACCACCGATTCTTCGCCAATTACAAAACCAAAATGATTGCACTCTGACGTCGAGACGGAACAGTTACAGCGTCCAGAAAGGACATGGAGGGAACCATTCATGGATACTACTTAAATCTCTTCGATAGCCACTCCCACTTTCCGTCATACGAGGCAAGGGAGAATGGATATGTTGTACCACCAGTTCTCCCTTCCGAAATCCGACATGCCATTTTGTCGGTGAAAAATCGAATAGCACCAGGTCCGGTCATGAAAGGACCAGAACACCTGAAGAATATTCCGCCAGTCCTCGTAAGCACACTGGCTCGTCTCTTTACACGTTACCTGTCTGAATGCAAGGTTCCTACTCAGTGGAAGACGAGCAAGACCGTGTTATTGTTCAAGAAGTGTGACCTACATGATATCGGCAAGTATCGGCCAATCTGCTTACTGCCTGTTGTTTACAAACTTTTCGCTCGAGTCATCCTAAACAATGTTGACAGACTACTGGACGAAGGACAGCCATGTGAGCAAACAGGGTTTCGAAAAGGATTTAGTGCGATGGACCACATACACATGATAACAAGGCTCATTGAAGTATCGCGAGAGTACAAAAGACCGCTCTGTCTCGCTTTCATCAATTTGAAGAAAGCCTTTGAATGAATAGAAGCAGCCATGGAAGCATTTAATAGGCAAAGGGTCTCTACTGAGTTCATAAAGATTCTTCGTGAGCTTTACAACAATTTTAAAACCAAGATATCACCATTCTTCAACGATATTACCATTGACGTCAAAAGAGGAGTTAAGCAAGGTGATACCATCTCGCCAAAATTATTTACCACGTCATGCGAACACTGAAATGGAATAATATGGGAGTGAAAATCGTTGGTCGGCATTTACACCATCTTCGCCTTGCTGATGACATCGTCGTTATAACATCAAACAATACCCAAGCGGAACCTATGCTCGTTGATTTTGATAAAGTCTGTGGAAAGATTGATCTTCGGCTAAATCTTGCAAAAACGATGTTCATGAAGAACGGATTGGTTTCGCATGACCCATTCACGCTCAACGGAACGAATATCTCCGATTGCTCCAGTTGTGCCTATCTTGGTGGGGAAATCAACGTGATGAACTACTGAGCTCCAGGGTTCGGCAAAATGAAACGAGTGTCTTGGGGAGCTTTCAAGAGCGTCGAGGATGTAGTGAAGAGGGCAAAGAACACCCGACTCCGTACCCACCTTTTCGACTACTTTCTGCCCTAACGTATGCGTCAGAAGCGTGGTCGCTGCGTAAGCAGGATGAAAGCTCACTCAGTGTTATCGAACGCACAATCGAATGGGAAGCTAGGAGTATCCTGTTTCACACAAATAAGGGTTGGGATCCGATGCTCCAACCTGCGTCAACGGTCAAAAATCAAGCATGCCGCTCTATACGCCAACCAGTCAAAGATAAGGTTAGCCAGACACGTAATGCGTACGAATGACAACCGATGGACAAGAGCCGTTAGTGACTGGATTCCTCGGGATGTCAAACGCACTGCTGGAAGACTACCGACCCGATGGCCAGAGTTCTTCACGAAGAGCCTAGAAGAAGGATATGATCCTCGATGAGTCCTTAGAGTGAGCAGAATCCACTGGGATACTCTTCATTGCATGAGACAGGGAAAAATGGAAGATTTACTGGCGTCGGGTCGAATCACTCGACGATCAGCGGGACTACAGGTAATACAGGTAATCGTTATCGAGCAAAATTAACTGTTGTTTAATAATTATTGAGTGATTAACACCACAGTACTAAAATGCAATGAAATAACAAATGACTAAGCTTTTGAAGGTAGAATATTGTCAACGTCAATGGTGTTCGTGATGGACGGGTGATTGTGGCTTGTGCATGAATTCTTCATAGTGGAGTTTTTTTAGCATGACATAACGGCGCATAATCCATCAGTTACTGTTCAAGATATATGGCGAGGTCTAGAAGGCGTGTACAAGAAAGGACTGGCCAGATCAATCGGTGTTTCCAACTTTAATGTGGAGCAGATCGAGCGTATTCTTAAAAATGCTGCTGTACCTATTCACAATAGTCAGGTAATCTAGATGTCTTGTGTACTATTAACTGCAGTGAGTGGTGAAAGGCTTTTCTGCGTAATTGAAGAAATCATTTTAACTGCCTGCTTAGAGCTCTCAGATGCGTTTGCATTAATATCACTTTATAATAATTGACAGAACATTAAAAATTAGTTAGCGAAAAAATTAACAGTATTTTATAGGTATAAAATTGTTTATCGAGCTACTACAAAACATTGAAAGACTTTGCTCTCATTTTTGATCAAAACTGTTTACTACTTGTTGGATTGCGTAGCCGTTTCTTCTTCACATTTTAGGTCGAATTACACTTATACTGGTCTCAGCACGAATTACATAATATTTGCAAGAAAAATAATATTTCACTGACTTCATATGGATCGTTAGGGTCACCTGGTCGTGTGAACTTTTCACTTCCCAGCTGAGCGTGAGTTGGTCGAATAGGTTTTCTTGAGAATTGGTTTCTACGCTTTCTGCAACAAAAAGCTTACAGCAAATTAAATTGGCCATCAGCTCCAAATCCACTAGAAGATCCTTATGTTAAAGAGCTAGCTGCTAAAGACAGGAAAACTCCAGCTCAGGTTAGTTCACAATGATATACTGCGCACTGATCACTCGTTGGCAACAATCACCCGTAGAAATTAACATTCTGTCCAGATTTTATTGCGATACGTCTTGGATAGAAACATTGCCATAATACCAAAGTCCGTCAATCCGGCACATATCGTCGAAAATTTCCAAGTTACTTGCTCTCCGCTTGTATTTTGAAATTGTCACAGTTTCCCATTGTTTCTAGTTGTTCGACTTCTCGTTGACTTCTGACGAAATTCATCTACTCGAATCAACACCGCATCGTCAACGACTTTTCATGCAAGAATTGTAAGTTGAACTTCAAAATCAAGTTTCCAATGCAATAAGCCACCATTTGAAGCACCTGTACCTGTTCTATGTAGTCTTTTTTGAAGCTGATTTGCTTATTCTACATTTCCTATTATATCTGAATGTTCATTATGCTGTGGTTTATTGGAATATGTAGCACTTACTGTTATTAGGTATGGAACCTTCTGGACAAATTACTATTTTAATAAAGTCCATTTTCAGCCTGGAAGGCCACCCTGAAGATCCATTTGCCGCAGAAAGGAAGCATTAATGAATGGTTTTCGTCATGCATAACAAATCATCTTTGTGCAGTCCATATTCTTATTACATTTATTTTTTTTCCCGCGTTCTATGGTAATTTCTTGCTAATGTTGTTCCAATAATACTTTCTACATTTCACATTTTGATCAGGTTGAATGAAAGGTTTTTACAAAACATTTGTAGGATCGTAATTTCTATAGGTGGAGTTATGAAAACCAGTGGTTTTGGAAATTTTTTGGAAGGTTCTTGACCCTGCTATTCTACATTGAGGCGCGTTTGCTGTCACATAGCAACCAAATCCAACCGATCAACGGATGACAGCTTCGAGCGACGATCGCCTGCTAGTGGCGGCGGGCGTCAGTGTGGACGTCCCAACGGGATTAGTCGCTTCTCTGTTGGAATCTCAACTGGAGAAAGCGTGAATTCCGAAAGCTTAGTAATACACCTTAATAAAAGAAGTCAACTTTTGTTTCGAAGACAGAAGTATGTAAACTTCGTGTTTATTTTAATTCATAAAATATCTCGACGGCTTATATGATAGTATTTGAACAGGGGATGTGAGAATGCGTCCGGGACGAAAACGTTTTTCGGAAGGGTGAATTTTTCGTTGTTTTGTTTTTAATCGTAAATTCAGTCTAAAGTACATGTTAGAAAACACTACGTTTCAACAAATTAGACATATAAAGAGATTTTGGATAAATAGTCCTATACATTTAAACCGAATGAGAAAATATTTAGTTCGTAAAATTGCACCAGTTTTCAGTTCGCTATGTGGCACATCTCTTCCGGTGGCATAAGTTTTCCTATAGAAACTGATAATTTGGATGCTTATTTGGATACTTGGACGGCCCGTCTTCACTAGTTGTGTGAGCGCCAGAACAATCTGCATTTTTTTTCTTTTTTGAAGCTTGCTGGCTGAGCCATTGTGGTTCCCTGAGATCCCGAGGTCAGCCTGAGCAAAGTCGGCTCCAGCATAGAAACTGGTACTTTAGAAGAAGAAATCGTTCAGATCATTTCAATGAATCTTACATTATACTGAATGATTGTTCTTATGTAGACGTCCATATATGTTATCAAGAACTATGAGATACCTCTCCAATATTGTATGTATGTATCAAAGCAGCTTGCAAGCCGAATTCTAGCACAAATTTTTATAAAATTTTTATGTAGGTGATTTTTTATCCTCAAGCCCTGTTTTTTCTTGCTTTTTTGACATGAGGAGTCAACCACGTCCACGTTTTGGAGAGAAGAGTGCGTGTGACCTCATCATCGGATCCAAGGTGTTAAGCACTCTTTTCAGAGCACTCGATTACTAGCGAAGTAGTGGTTCGTCGTTTGTTGTGATTTTTATTTTGCAGACTAAAAGTCATCTGAAAAAGCGAGTCACTGAAAACAATACCTACGTATTTGCTTAAGTTCGACAAAGTAGTCATGTGATGAAATAATTAACGGGTTAAGCGATGTCGTATGCTTGAATTATTCTCATTCCGTTAATGAATAATATGACTTATAATCGATGTGTTAAGAAGGCCTCGGCAGCGAGCTAACTTTAAGCGCAATTTTTTTCGCACTCGCCTTCCGGCATCGAATAAAGTGACTGATGAGGTGCTTTTTTTTTGGAAATTTCGCAGTAAAGAGTCATCGAATTCGTGTTTTAATGCAATTAATCATAATTCGCGCTTGGTGATTCTGTCATTTTCTTATCTCAACCCTTTTAGTTTTTATAATGCAGACGCCGCAAATGGCAATTGACAAGGTATCAACGCGATGTAATCATGTAGAGATGTTTTATCATCATTGCAGCTACTGCGGCTCTAAATAACCTTCTTCACTCCAAATGACCTTTAAGCACGTACAATGACTTCAGTGCCCTACTTACTGTGGCAAACTTCCATCTACTGTCGCTCATTTTCTTGAAATGGATAGGTGTTGGTGTGTCAGGTTTTCCTACAATAGTGTTCACAAAACTGCTAAAAACACTTGTCGCTTATGCGGTGTACAGGATTCTTCCACTTTGGAATGGTCTTAGATCGTACTTCCTTTATACTGTGTCTGTCCAGCCAGTTTGATGGAGCATGCTTCTGACTACCGCATTTCGGATAGTGCAGTTTCCTGAGAGGAAGATACAATACCGCCATGTGCCGTCTTTCCATAGTTTGGTCCACAGTCACCTTATTCTTGCTAAGCTATTTTTGTCGGAAAGACTAAGAACATAAAATTTGCTTTGCATGATTAATAATTAATGCGCAAGATATTAGAAGATTGCCCCTCGTGTTGTTGCTTGCGCGCGAAGAGAACGCCTAGTTCCCAAACCTAAATATGATTTTCTTGATATTATGTTCCATAAATTATCAAGGGCTGTGAAGTCTTTTCCGTTCGGATTTTTTCTCTTGTTTTTTCCTGGCTAGTCACACGTTAACAAATGAACGACATAAGACATGTAATGGGTTGTTCCACGGATATTCAACAAATTGACATCAAGACTGATTGAGCACCGTGCTTGCTCGACCTCGTCCAGGGCTCAACAAGTTTTTCGCTCCTCAGGGGGCCTGGAAAATGGTACCATACTTGTCCGGAATAGCTTCTCTCCCTGATCCACGTGATGACAACGCAGCACGACCATAACAGGACTTCCCGGTAGAATTGACTCGACCAGTGTTCAACGGCAATCATGGAGAACACAGCAGTCCTCAAGCGGCAGACGAAGTGATGCGTTTAGAGTTCGAAGGTGGATGATGAAAGCGAGGAAACGAATGGTATGCAGGAAATACTGGGCTCCTCACAGCAGATGTGAAGATAGATCATGTAGTAAGTAAAAAATAAATGATAAAAATAAATAGAATGATGAATTCGCTGTCTTCGAGGGCATGTAGGAAATTTACAATGACCAGTGCAGTTTCAATAATTGCCTAAAGGGATACACTTCAAGTATAAGTGTTTACTCTATAAGACAACATTGCCGTTGAAATGCTCACAAAATGTGCCAATTAGCTGTTTGTAAACACCCTGCGCGATCTAGATAACATTAGAGTAAGAAGTTCCGAAAAATGCATACTGTTAGATTGCTTCCCAGCACACTTATATAATTAGAAATAGACGCGAACGGAATACGTTGAAAAACGTAGATTTTCATTACATCAGATGTACCGCTGTAATGGAGTTTATTGTGCCGCTCGAGAATTGTTTTTATCACACGACTGAAAGTTGACTACTGTATCTTTGCCGAGTTAATAGGTAAAATACAAAACGCATTTTCATGTCGTATCTCTCTATCTCTATCGGCGCCAACACGTTTTTGGGACATCTCTACTTCGATTCGAAAGCACTTTATTTTTCCTCCATTCCTATGCTTGTAGTCAATTCAAAACGATATTCGTCTCCTTTTAACGGGTTTTATTGAGAGCGGTCGTTGCATACAATTGATTGCGCATCGTTGCACACTATGCTGGTACCTTTCAACTTAACATATCTTTCTTTGGTTTCGTTGTTATGCAACCGTTATCCAAAACGATCGCCGGATACGCGTGTAACTTGGGCTTCTGCCTGATAATCTGTCATATCCTCTCATTCATGTGTCCAATCGTGGTTTTTCTTGCATTTCCGAAATAATCATGCTACGAAGTCGTTAGATCATCATCACAGGCAGCTGTTAACCACTGTGCTTCAGCAGGAGGTTCGGTGCTTTGCGAATAAAATAAAGGTGATACTTGTTGCAGCTGCGATTTCCGCGTTTATTGTACAGATCGATAAGGACGATGTCACACCCCGAATCTGTCAACTACTGTTAAAAGATTAAGTGTAACGCTTTAGGTGTTGATTAGTCACTGAAAGGTGCGTCATGCATGCGAGTTCATTAAGCATAGTTAGAAATGATCGAGCGCTTATTTCGCTTATGCAATGACATGTGGTTGCCTACCCATGTATGGAACCAGTGTTGTTTTTCTCCTAGATAGTTTGGTACCTTTCTGACCACGGAGCGATGTAAAACAAGCTGATCCCAGGCGCGCGATATAGAACCCAAGATCGGGTGTGTATCATAGCGCACTTCTTAACACTGCGATACATGCTCCCCTGTACTATTTATAGCATTCATTTTTTGAAAGGTCGCATCTGTGGATGCAAAGAGAGCGTAAATAGTCAGCTCTACTCATGTTTTACGATATACCTATCCTGAAAATCTTACATTCGGTTAATTACAGCCAATCCAAAGCAAAATTGAAAACCCATTTTGTAAAAAAGGCGTTGTCACTCATTTTTCTCAGTATATTGTCTTCGCTTCACTAAAATAAGTTTTTCCATTGAATTAAATTAGATAAAGGGTGAGGGATAGAGCTCTCAACGTTGGTCAATCCTTGGGAGACGACCTATGCATTCGACTTTATCAAGATGCATACTCGTGGTGCGGGGATAGACTGCCGAAAGTGTATTACAAGGCTCGTCCGACCACTGTGTGAATTAGAAATTAGAGCGAATCTCCTACGGATTTCATGGAGTACTAACTATATTTGTATTAGGGCTTTCCACCATGAAGGAACTGAGCCGCGTTTTCTTCCATACATTCGAACTAATATATTCAAATATTAACTACCCACACAAAAAGTACTTACAGTAAGAGATAACGCGTGTGCTTCTGGAGGAATTTCAGAAAAGAGGAATGAGGCTTATGCTTACTCTTGCATGCAGTGAAAAACCTGTTTACTTATTCAGACAACCTGAAATTACGTACTGCGCAGTTACCATCACTTCTTTCTTTCGATTCGTCCTCACGCTTCAGTCATAAACGAAGATCTGCATGTGATTTGCGTGTGAATTCGACTGTTGCTTGAAGATTTGATCTTTTTGGGAAATGACCTTAAATGCTGGTTATGCAGATTTTTCTTAGAATTCTGGGATAGCGCTGTGCAATGAATTTCTTGGTTTTTCATCGTAGGAAAGCATTTAGGGATCGGCGAGAGCTTTCCGCCGAAAAGTCTGCCACGAATTTGTCGACCTCGAAGGGTTGAGAAGGGT